TAAGACCCTCCACGATGTAACTGATTCGGGCTCCAGACTTTTGTACCAGGTCATAGCGCCTTTCCTCAGAGTCGTCAGGAAGAGTCTGCACTTGATAGCTCCCCGGACGTTTCGGTAGTCGAGCATAGCCTCGATGTCTTCCAGGTGATCGTCCAGGTCGGAGGTGCCGTCGTATGTCGACAACATCGGTGGTTTCTCCATCCCCTGGGGTATGGGGGCAGCCATGATCTCCCGGGACAGCGGGGTGCGGTAATCGTCCTCGTCGCTGTGTGCTGGGGATCTGTGGGGAGATGAGCCGTTCGAGGTATGCCCCTGGTTTCGGGTTCTCGATCTCCTGCCTGAGTTCTCGCCTCGGGGGTCCTCGATTGGGATCGCCGTGGTGTTCTGGTTCCTCGCGCGAACTTGTCTTGCTGGGGATCTGGTGCGTTCTCGTGTCACCTGCGGGCGGTGTCTCTCCAGCCGCGGTCGGCGATTTCTGGGTCGAGGTGAGGGGCTCCTCGAACCTCCGTTCTGGTCTTCCCGCGGGGGGTACCTCGGAGGGCCGATGCGTTCTAATGCTCCAATTCTCGCATTTTGTTGGAACAGCAGCTGGTTCGTCTGGTTGATGGCCGTAAAGAGAGCGGCCACCGTTGGGTCCGCTCCCACCGGGACGGGAACGGTGATCGGCCTGAAGGGGCCGTTCTGCGGATGATGGCGAAGCAGTTTGCCCGTCCCTTTCGTCGGCTTCCGCCGGACGTGCCGTTCCTGTTTGCTTCCCGTTGGTGGCGACGTTGAGCACAAGGTCGTGCGGAGTGTCATCGCGGTGTGGACTAGCCATGATCGTGGAGGTTTGGTGAAACTTTTGGTTTTCTGCTCGGAGTAACGGGGAAGTTTCAGTTTCCCACAGACGACGCCACTGATCTGACCTGATCAGAAGGGGATCACGATATAGCCACACGCTGCTGGGTTGCTACCTGTTCACCGGTGATGAGAAGGAGGAGGAGGGTGTACCTGCAAGACACTCCGATGCCAAAGTAAGAAGTTGGGCAGAGTGGAAGCAGAGGCACAGAAAAGGGCAAGAAAAAGTTACCTGACCCTCTTGAGGAAGAGGGTATTTATAGAGAGACCCCAGCGCTGGGCCAACGGTCATTTGAGGTGAGCTGGATGACCAGGCCCAACCCTAATGACTGCTAGGGCTTACGTGGCGTAGTGAAGACCAGGACGTGGTCTTCGCCCTAGTCCAACTGCCCCTAGATCTCCGGAGAGCGGGTTTGACCTGCTCTTTCGGAGGTGGGCGGTTGGTTGATGACGTGTCCCCGCGGAGGGGAACACGTGGAGAACGTGCGCCGAGCACGTTATTCTCCCCGCGGAGGGGAGCTCGGGAGGTACCCGGAGCGCGTTGTTCTCCCCGCGGAGGGGAGGATCCACGGCCGCGCTTAGGTGTGCCGGGGATGGTTCTGCTCGTCTGGTACGGTGGATGATGAGATGCTGTTGGATGCGCTGCTTGTGTCCGGCGGCATGCTCTGCTCGTCTCGAGGGACGCACGTGCCCGGTGTACCCGATTCGCCTGTTGGGCCGTACGTGGTATTGGGCCTGCCGAGGTCGGGCCCATACCGGAACAATTTTTAAATTATGTGAACTATTCATCAACAATTTTTTTGTATCTTCAGTTGAGTAAAAAGTTGGTTGTATATTATTTATCCAAGTGTTAGGGAAAAAAATAAAATTGTTATTTAGAAATTGAGAGCTAGCATATATGCTAAATAACTGTAGCTTTGAAAAAATTTATTTAAGAGAGTATTTAGAAATAACTGTAACATACTAAATAAATTCATCTGTAACTGTAACAATTTTAGAGTAGGAAATAACTGTAACAATTTTAAGAGAGAATGTTATTTCTAAATAACTGTAACATACTTAAGAGTATTTAGAAATAACTGTAACATACTAAAAAAACTATAACAATTGAGAGCTAGCATATACGCTAAATAACTGTAACAATTTTATCCAAGGGTTGTATTTGTTGATGTTTTTTGTTTTCAACTAAGAGAGAATATTATTTGTCGTTTATATTTGTTGATGTTTTTTTTAGTATGTTAATTTCTAAATAACATTCTCTCTTAAAGGTATCAACAAATAATATTCTTATCCAAGTGTTAGAAAAAAATTAAATTTTTTTTTGAAATGTTTATATTATTTATTTAATTTTAAATTTTAAAAAATAAAATAAATAAATAAATGTAAGTAGTAGTGAAGAGTTATAGTTAGTTGAATTTTATTCTCCGTCAAATTTTTATCATAAACGATGACAATAGCAAACACATTTGTATTTGACAAGTTGATTCATGCCTTAGTAAAGAATATAAGGTATTTAACTCCAATTCAAAATTATATGTGCAGAATTTGTAAGAAAATCATTATGCTATAAAGAATTATATGTCTTATACTGTACATTATATGTAATTCAGTCTTTGTTTATTATGTTGGGAAACACAAAAGATTATTTATTAAGATAATCTTATTCTAATAAGTAAAACTTTATTCTATCGATCAAGCCATTATAAAAATCTTTTATTATCTTTAATTTGAATTGTTGAGAATTAAAATATTATATGGTTGTAATAGGTTGTATTTAATGATAATAAATGCATGTATGATTCAATTCTATGAAAATTTTCATGTTTATATATATATATATATATATATATATATATATATATATATATATATATATATACACACACACACACACACACCATACAATTAAGACTTCTGTGTCAAATATATTTAGAGGTAAATCAAATAGGGTAGAGTTTAAGTATATTTAGAGATTAACCAAATAGGGTAGATGTTAAGTATATTTTATAGGTTAACCAAATAAGATAGAGATTATTATTTCTACAACTGTAGTATTAGACAACACAATTAAGACTATAATAAATTTGGCAATTTTTTAAAATAGTTCCTTCAATTTTTATTTTTAATACTAATACATTCAAATAACCTGTTGATAAAACATAATTATTGTACTAATTAATAAAAAGATGAAAATTTACTTTTGATCAATGAAAAAAGCTTCAATGATAATATTTTGAGTTAACTAAAATATAAAATAATTTGGAGTAATATAAAAATATTATTATGAACCTACAAGGAATATAATACTATCTTTTCTCATTTTATTTTAATATATCTTTTATCTATAACATAAATTACACTAATTTCATTTTTTACCCCATTTTATATTTTAATGTTTAGTTAATATGCAATCTTTTCATCTATTTGTCCAACATAATTTATGTTTCTTTTTATTGATTGTCCATTTCTTCTTCGTCTTTTTTATATTTTAGTTTTGATTTATATTCTTAAAATATGCTTTACAAATAATACTTTTTGGTGTAAACTTCTTTTTTCCAAAAGAAATATTTATCTATTTTAAATCCCATCTATATTTACCAATATTTTTTAACTTAATTAGTGAAATTATGTTGCTTATAAATTTCATATGTGTTTGGCAGTTACATTAACAAAATGGAAAATAATACCCGTCAGATATCAAGTCAACAACAAAGGGAAAGAAGGGCCGAAAATGAAAGAAAGAGGAGACAAAATATGAACATCGAGCAAAGAGAAAATTATTTATCGATACGACGTGACAATTATAGGTGGCGAAAAGAGCAAGATAAACAAGCTCAAACATCTCGCACTATGAACAGTCGGAGGAGAGTTCCATTTCAAAATTTTACAAATATGAGATCTCCAATATCACACTTTCAAGGAACTCATGGCAATGAAGCCGGACCAAGTAGAATTACACATGTTAATGATGTTGCACTTGGTTGGTGATGATCAATATAGACATTATAATCGTACATTGTATAATATTGTTTATTTGTCATCTCTCATTTTATGTATTTAAACCCGCAGATCATAATTGCACATCACCTAACCAACGTATCAACAATAGTCACTCTGCTACAGGTATACGGGATATTGTTCTACGTATGCGAGCAGTAATTTCAACATATATATATATATATATATATATATATATATATATATATATATATATATATATATATATGTGTGTGTGTGTGTGTGTGTGTGTGTGTGTGTGTGTGTGTGTGTGTGTGTGTGTGTGTGTGTGTGTGTGTGTGTGTGTGTGTGTGTGTGTGTGTGTGTGTGTGTGTGTGTGTGTGTGTGTGTGTGTGTGTGTGTGTGTGTGTGTGTTAATTATTATTTTTATATCAGGCGATATGGATGTTGATGAAGCTTTGGAGGATGCAGTAATATCAGATGTTAACATGGAAGCCATAAATGATGGTGCATCATGTCGTCCTCAAGGCATGTTCATAAAAAATTTTGTGCCAAATAATGTAGCTTATACTCAAGTGACATAAAACTGAAAATTATGCAATGTTAAATCTTCTAATTTAGGAATCTTGCGTTAATTATTTATTTGTATTTTAGATTTTAGATAATATTTAGTAATCAATATCAAACTCCTCCCTGTAGAATCAGGACGCGCTTTTTGAGCAAGACACAATATTGCTCGAAATTTCAAAAATAATTCGATGATGACAAAACCCCAGTTGCCTAATCCAATTTCCTATAGATATTGCAATGCAAAATAGTTTCATCATAAATCACGTGATACGTGTTGTACTGGTGGAAAGGTATCATTTTCACGAGTTAATGCTCCTATAGAATTGCAACAATTATTTTTGGATGGTTCAGTAGAAGGAAGGCATTTTAGGCAACATATTCGAAGTTACAACCATGTGCTCTCATTCACTTCAATTGGTGTTCACGTTGATGAGAATATTCTTGCATCTGGTCGTGGTATATATACATTTCGTGCTTAAGGTGCTTTTTACCATAACATAGGAGGTTTCTATCCAAATGAGGGTGCTAGACCGCGTTTCTTACAGCTATACATCTACGACACAGATAATGAGCTACATAATAGAATGCAAGAAAATCCACAACTCCACCAAAATGTAGTTCAAAAATTACAAAAAATGCTCCATCAGTTTAATTCTTTTGTAATTAGGTTCAGACAACTGTCACAATTTCCAAATATCGGTGAATGTAGCCTCATACTTAAAGAGCGACCAATTAATCACCATCAATATAATCTTCCAACTGCAAAACAAGTTGCGGCAATTATTATTGGAGGAGGTTCAGATTATATGGAATATGGAAGGGATATTAATGTCATTCGGCATGATGGAAATCTAAAGAAAGTTCAAGAGACAAAGGGATATTATGATCTGTTGCAGTATCCTATATTGTTTCCATTTGGGACACAGGGTTGGGACGTTAACATAACAAATTATAATGGATGAAGATCGTCATGTCGAGCATATTACAGTTACATGCTTCAGGTAAATTTAGATTAATTTAGTAAATAGTATACTTAGATAAGCGTAGTTTAAAACACATCACTTTTAACGTTGACATGTTTTTTAATCAATTGTAAATTCGCCCAAATGATCAATCAATGTTGTTAAATACGGATCGACTCTTGCAACAATATGTTGTAGACAATTATGTCAAAACTGAATCAGGGAGGTTAAGGTGGATTAGAGAGCACCAACGTGATATACGTGCTGAAGTGTACCAAGGTTTACAGGATGCTTTACATGTCGGTGAAACTAATGCAGGTACTAAATAATGTAGCATTAATATATATTTTTAGATTACTAATTGGTTGTTGTACTTATAATGATAATCTTTCATGTATTCTGAAACTAATACATTTAATGAATCACCATAGAAAACATTGGAAAAAGAACAATATTGCCATCATCATTTATTGGAGGTCGTCGAGACATGACACAATGCTATGAAGATGGCATGGCTATTGTTCTTCATGGCGGTAAACAAGATGTTTTTCTGACAATGACATGCAATCCTTTTTGGAGTGAGATAAAATCAGAACTTTTTCCTTTTCAAACACCACAAGATCATCCAAATAAGCTAACAAGAATATTTCGTTCAAAATTCGAGCAATTAAAGGATGATGTTATTAATAAAGGAGTCTTAGGAAAGGTTAAAAGCTACATGTGTGTCACTGAATTTTAAAAACAAGGATTGCCGCATGTGCATATGTTGTTGGTCTTAGAATGTAACGACAAATTGCGTAGCCCAGAAGAGTATGATAGTGTGGTAAAAGCAGAAATACCTAAGTTAGAATGTGAACCATAATTGCATGAAACGGTTCTAAAACATATGATCCACGGACCTTGCAGCGTTATGAACCAGAATTCCCCATGTATGAAAGACGGACATTGTAAAAAAAAGATATCCAAAACAATTCTTAGATGAAACACGTCAAGGCACTGACTCATGTCCTGAGTACAGGTGTCGCTACTCGAAAAATGAAACGACAGAGAGGAGAAAATGAAAGACAGAAGAGTCGCCACCAAACTTTATTCATCCCATGAGGGGAAAGGAAAATATCGAGAAAACCTTAAGAAAGAAACGGATAGGATGGTCTCACGACCAAAGAATGGGTTCGGAAGCCGGTTATGCGAAAGGAAGGTATTAGCACCCCCCGCATCCATCGTACTCGATGGGAACCATTTGTTTTTCCATGTGTGAAGGTATCTGCTAATAGGTATCGCTTTAAAAGGTGTTCCAAAGGGAGAGAGAAAGGTTAGAAATAGGGAAAGGAAAGGTAACGGAGGAAGAAGAGAGATTCGGTAGGACTTCGCGGTCCTAGGCCTATGTATTCTCAACAGATATGAGAAAGTCAGAGTCGACGTAGTTCGGGGAACTACGAATGATGGGAAAGTGTGCTCGGCAAGGATTGGGGCCCTTGTGCCTACGTATCTTTACTTAAAAGAAGTAAAAAATTAGAGCAGTCGTAGTTCAGCCTACGGTTAGTCTTGAAAACAGTGAATTATCAGCTTATCGTCGTGAGTGTAGGAGGTCATTTTTCGACACACCAAATGACGCTTCGGGTAACTAAAGCCTGTGTAGTTCTTGAAGTTGGGTACCTTGAATTTTGGAGGAATCACCAGGTCTGGCACTAGACACATATCAGCAGCACCGAGGTCGAGCGTAACATGCACTTTCATAGCTTGAAGTCTCTCCTCAAAGACACATAGCTTTTCTTCCATGGGATCATTCAATGACACCCTCTGGGGTCGATTAGGAACATTTACTTGCGGAGGATGGTCATCCGGAGGAAGATCATATAGTGGATTATTCTTCACAGTAAATCCTGGCACAGAACCAACATTCTGGCGGTCGTTCTCTGACATAGCTACCTCAGCTTGCTTCTTCTGACTGGCCTTTCAAGGCGTCTACGTTCTTCTTGCTTCAAATGTTTCACAACTCTCACAAGTTTAGTAGGAGTGTCGAGAAATCAACTACGGGAGATGAACAGGGGAAGGGTAAGCTTTTGGTATCTTGGTTAGAGAAGAAAATGCAAAATGATTCAGAGATGCTTATGCAAATGTGTTGCACCCTAAAATTTGACCAACCGGGTCCCGTATCTGGCTCGATGTTTCGACGCATTCCCGCATTCGCATCTGCATATCGCATACAGTGCATTTTTCAGTTGTTTTGATTTTATCGGGATCACAGCCCTCGTCTCGCGTCTCAGGTGTTTTTTAATCAGTTTAGATAGGTAGAATCGTATTTTTTTGGGAAGTCGTGCTATTCCCGGTGTTTGCAGCTCGCGCTGTTGTTTTTAGGGATATTTCGGTGTCTTTTTATTTTTACCGACTATTTTGGTGCGCTTTCGCAGTGTTATTTGTCGTTCGGTGCTATTTTTGTTCCCTCGGGGATTATTGTGATTTTTCTGGATTTTATTTGGCTATTATTAGAGTTTTAATAGATTTTTAATCATTTTAGGGTAATATAGAATATAATATAGAATATTAATAGGTTTTAATATTTTTAATAGTTTTAATCTTTTTAGAATGTATTAGATATTAAATAGATTTTTATCATTTTCTTAATAGAATAATATAGTTTTTTTCTTTTATTAATAATAGTTTTTTTTAGGATAGAATGTTTTAGATAAATAATATAGGAGATTTAATAGAGATTTAATAAATTTTAGATTAGTGGGATTATTAGAGTTTTTTTGATTAGTAGGTTTATTAGAGTTTTAATAGAGAATTATTAGAATTTTTGTAGATTAGTGGATTTATGAGAGTTTTTTGATTAGTGGAAGTATTAAAGTTTTATTGGTTTAGAATTTAATTAGAGTTAATAGAGTTTTTTCTCTTTTTAGATTTAATTAGGATTTAGATTAAGTTTAATTTTCAGTTTAGCATCTAATGGCAGTTTAATTAGTTAATGGTGGTTTTAATTGCATTTAATCATAATTCATTTAGTTAATTAGTCATTAGTTTTATGTCTTTTCTTTTAATCCATTCTTAATGCAGATTTTGGATTTTTATCATCCATTTTTTCGTTTGGGCCAGTTATCCATGATCAGTGCAAAGCCCAATTCGCCAGGAGTCCAAATCCCAGTCCGAGTCCAAGTTGCATGTGGTATAAATGGTCTGATCCACGTGTTATCTTCGGAGGAGGCCACCACAATCTCAGAATCACCCACGTCTCGCCACGCGTACCCACACTAAGCCTCTCTCTCTGCCACGCCACACACAAGTGGCACACATGCAATAACCCTCTCCACTACCCTTGCCACTTGGCGATCACCCAGCCTCCACCGGTTGCATGGCCGGCGGCCATGCAACCACCGCAAATGCCCGCCGCCGGCAACCCTAACCAACTCCCTCCGCCATACCCGTCACCGGAAACCCTAAAACACCCAAAAAAATTCCAGAATCCATCTTCCTCCTTCATCTTTCTCCGATCAACCTTCATCTCCCTCCGATCACCCTTCATCTCCTTCGATCAAACTTCATCAACGATGTCGTGTTTATCATCTCCAGATTCAACCGTTCATCAATCTTTCCCAGAAAACCATCATCGTTTAGTAAAGAAGATTCACAAGTTCCATCAGTTTTCCTCATTTCCAGAAATCACCAAGTTCATCATCGATAATTTTCCAGAACTTCAATCTTCATCACAGAGATTCAACCATTCAATATCCAGATTCATCGTTCTTCGCCTTCCAAGAACACCTTCAAGGTTCTTCAGAAAAACCTCCAGAATGCTTATCTGTTTTGTTTTCCAGAAACTACCAACTTCATCAACAATCATCATCTCAATCACCAAAATCGTCATTTTTCCAGAAACTCTCCGATCTAATTCATCATCAATAATAGCCAATCACCACCGAATCCATACATTTTTCTCCTAGATTCATCAGATCATTGTTCCAACTCCCATCGAAGTTATTCAGTTTTCCAGAACAATCATCCACGACCTTCAACGATTCGCCAAAAGAGCCACGAAGAACATGCATCTTCAATGAATGATCAGCAAGATCACCACAAAGAACATTCGTCCTCTCCGATCCAGATTTCCCAGATTCTTCAACCTCCCCATGAGTTTCTTCCCAAAGTCTTTCCAGAACTTGTTCAGCTCTTCATCAGCGACTACATTACCTCAAGAACATCCAAGAATAGATGACTTGTTTCCGGGAGATTTGTGGTATTTTGCAGTTTTCGGTCCGATTCATTTGTGTTGCAAGATGTAAACAAGATGTTTGGAACGAATCTGAAAGGTTGGACGAAGTTGAGGGGTGAGGTTGAGATGGAGAATCCAAAGATGAAACGAGAGAGGGAGAGGTGAGAAACGGCGCAAGTTGGGGAGATGAACAGTGAATGGGGTAGTGAAAGCATTTAGGGTTTTCTGCCTTTCAGAAGGTGAAGAGAGGGACGTGGCCGGGTATTGGTTTGGGCTCAAAGGCCCGTTGGCGTTTTTAGGATTCCCCCCCCCCCATTTCTTTCCTTACTCCCTCTGTGTTGTGCGTTTTTGGGTGGACGTTGGGCCTTGGGCCCAGCGAATCTCTTGCCAATACCCTCCGGTTCAATTTCTGCACCTCCCCCCACTTTTTGTTGTTTATTTCATTTCTTGGGCTGGGCCCTTATTACTAGCAGACCCCCCTGTAATAGTCATACACCCCCCCTTGTATTTTTGTTTTTTCTCTTCTTATTTTCTTTGTTTAGAAAAAAAGAAAAGAATATTGAATATTAAAAAAAAAGTAGAAAAAAAATAGTGAGAAAAGAAAGAGAAAATATTTTGAAAAAAGAGATGAATAAAAGAATAGAGAAAAAAAGAAAAGAAATATTTTGAAAAAGAAAAATGCTTGAAAAAAAGAAAAGGGAAAAGAAATAGTGAAAAAAATATTAGTGTAGATTTAATATTTTTTAAAGTACATTTTCTTTTAGGATATATTTTCATGGAGTTTATTTTAGGGATAATTTTAGACGTCCACTTGTTAGGGGACTATTTTCCACTTGATTTTTCATATGATAGGATAATATTTCCTAGGGGTTTATTTTCAGTATTCAACCAATGTAATCATTTTTCAGAATGTTAATAAAATGAGATTTGAGCTGTGGTCCCGAAGTAGCCGAACTACAGCTGCTCTGATTTCTCGTACCAGACGAGAATATGTAGGCATAGGATGCGACATCCTAGCGAGCACACTAACAACTGACTTTTTGTTCTCTCGCTGCTGTGCGATCGAGACTTTCCCGTTGATGGCTGATGTAACCCTTTTTCTCTCTTGCCCGAGTGCATTTGAGACCAGACCGTAGTTTTTCCCATAGGTTCCCGTACCTGTGAAACCAGTTTGATTTCTCACTGCTGTGTGAGAATACCCTGTCTAGCCGTAGTTAGCCTGAACTACGTAAAGCTCTGATCTTCCATGCAGTGTGGAAGTACGTAGGCACAAGACGCGAGGTCTTGGCGAGCCAATTTCCCTGTAGTCCCGAACTACGTTGACTCTGACTTTCTCTCTTGAGAATACGTAGGCATAGAGTGCGACGCTCTATCGAGTCAATTCCTTTCCGTTTAGATTTAGCAGCCGTAGATAGATTGTTTTGCATCCTTTAGACAACCAAGAAAGCGTGGATCCCGTCGAGTACGACGGACGTGAGGGGTGCTAATACCTTCCCCTTGCGTAACCGACTCCCGAATCCAGGTTTTGG